CATTGTGCTGTAGGAGTCTCCGAACAGGGATTTTTTTACTTCAGGGACCAACATAAGATTTATTAATGGTCTCATAATTTAAATCTATGAATACACCCCCTCGTTGGACGAAATTAGTTGAAATAATGCGGTCAAAAAGAAATAAAGTTTCCTTTTGTTTTCCCGCTTAATTTTACCAATTATTTGTTGATCCCTGGCATATTTGGTATTGGTACCGAAAAAAAGAGAAAAGCACGAAGATGTCAAATATGGCTATATATGGCGGTCTTAAATAAAAATGTAGTGAACGTGTACATGGGTTTTGGTGTGAAAATGAAACCGAATTCTTAACTTTAAACTTTAATACCTCGTAATTAACTGTCGGTGATTAAAAGCACGAAAAACGCAATAATTGCAATCACTTCCTTTCTATAAGGTATCATACTGAAGGTGATTTCTTACTTTATCCAGTGATAATAAAACTTTGGTTTTCCATTACCCCTTAAAGTGTTAGGTTTGCCATAGCAGGTCCCAAATAGCTCGGGATACGGAATCCGATGCAATGTATCCTGTGAAGAGGGACTCCCAGGTATGAGGAACAGAACATCTAGAGAAATAAAGGGGTGTACTTGAACGAAAACAAGGCATCCATTGGCGATATCCCTCTTTTAAACCACTTAACCGTGAACTGAAAAAATGTCGCGCACTGATAGATTTAAAACCATGAATAAGAAACTCAGTTTATCATTGTCAAATGGTTGGTTGAATGTCTGGCATTTAATTTTCTTTTCATGAAAACGCAGATTTAATAAAATTATAGGATTTCCCGGCCAAATTCGCGAGTTTGACATTCAAATTAATTTGTCTTGCGTTCAAATTCGACGGTTTTAGTGCAGTCAGGTATATCTCTGGTTTATATTCCCTTTTCTAGTTTTCAAATCTATGGAATTTTTGTTAGAATCTACGTATGTTTCATTCAAATTAATGAACACATCTGAGAGAGGTGTCTAGATTTAGACATCGAAACTGTCACATAGGTAAATAATTTTGAAGGTGTCACATAACTCTTTTCCGATAATACGCATCTACATAGGAGTTACTCTTCCTCTTTATTCACGTATATGAACTCAAAGAGCATCGGAAAGCCTTCGAAAAGTGAAACTGGGAAATTCAGGTTGATAAAAATTACTTTATTACCAGCCTATATATACTTGACTGATCTCTGCGAAGTGTCTAACTTTTGTTTTTTTTAAGTGGCCCAACTATTGTGGAGCGTGTAAGCAGCGCTTTGTAACTGCAAGGAAAAGGCGCTACATCAAATATCTTTTGGATTGGATTGGATAGAATGCATATAAAAACGTAAAGAGCAAGAGCCAAACGCCAAAAATAGTATTGCCATATTTAAATGAACTCGATCTTCAAAGGTGATGGCGGAAGGATTAAATAAACCGTTTCCACCGAACATCGGCGCATCGGTTGCGCAGTCAGTTGATTTTGGCTTGGCAGGTGCTTCATTGGCTGAGAATGCTCACCAGGTGGAATCACCTGAGATCAAGAAGTCCAGATGGTACCTGCTATCTTCATCGTTACATCATGCCATAGGGGTGGCAGGGATCAAGTTTATATTCAATGGCGATAAAATAAAAATAAGGAGGTAAGTCGCACTAATTTAGACCTTGTAACAATTATTTAACATATAATCCCCCTAAACAGTCCTCAAATAACTAAAGGCATTGTTCTCACATTAAAAGTGTGGTGTGATTTACACGGAACTAGGAATGAGGTAGGGGGTACCCCAACATTTTTGAACTAGTACCTAGAAGAATGCAGTATAATGTTGCTATAGTTTAGTCAATAAAGGACACATGTCCAAACTTAGATGCAAATGACAAGTCGAAAAAACATGAATTCTAATTTATGCTAAGGGATACTATCCATGATCATTATTAGTTTAGATTTTGAAATGAATACAGAAGTTTCGTGTTTGAATTCAGATATATTTTTCATTTATTGTTTTATTTATTATTATCATTATCATTATTATTAATATTATTATTGTTATCATTTTTAATATCATTATTATTATTATTATTATTATTAATGTTATTATTATTATCATTATCATTATTACTGTCATAATTATCATCATCTATATCATTATTATTGATTTATATTTTCATTATTATTGTTATTCATGTATGTTCATGGTATCCTGTAATACTGGTAAAGCACGTACCCACTTTATCAAATGGAAAATATCTTTTCCATCAGAAGAATCCTAACTAAAAATATGTCGATGAAACGATTTAAAAATGAAATTGATGATAAACAGATGTTTGATATTTATTACAGTGTTGATTTAAATTATTTACTGTGTATCTTCATACATGCTTTTTACGTGCCATATATTTTTTGTGATGGTATCTCAAATAGGAAACCAATGCGTCAGGTATTCAAAGAAACCTGTTAACACCCTTTTGGATGTGGAATATGTTGATCTGCTAGACTTCCATCAGTCGTGATCTCCAACTACAATGCTTACAGGTAGCTTTTCTTTATAAAAGCGGACCAAAATTGATTCGAATTTCATGAAAAGACATGAAAATCATCACCAGAGATGAAGCCTTTAGTTTATTTAAACGTTTTGAGTTTAATAACAAAAACACCAAATGTTATGGTTCTACGTGATACATCGTCATCTTTTACGATATTATTGAACATGTTCAAGAGGGATTGGACAGAGGTATACAAACTGAATGGATAATCATCCGATGCGACGTTTCTATATACATTATGTACAGAAGAGTGGTATTTAGTCTAGATTCTAATGGATATTGCACAGGACTACTAATCCCCTGGTACGGATTTGTCTGGTACCGATAGTCATCGCACAATCCGATTGTAAACAAAGATGTATAGTACCTTGCTGATGATTCTAGGACACCTAACCCCTGGACGTCCACCCCCGGATAACCACCCCTAGTCAACTACCCCGACGATCCTTTAGGACAAATACACCCGGACAACTATCCTATGGGGTAGTTGTCTGGTGGGTAGTTGTCCGGGGTATAGTTGTCTGGGGGATAGTTGTCCCGGGGGTTGTCCTGGGGGTAGTCGTCTTAGATGGTGGTTGTCCTAGGGGTAGTTGTCCTAGGGGATAGTTGACTAGGGGTTATCCGGGAGGTTGAATGATCAGGGGGTAGGTGTCCGGCTACGCTTGCTTATACAAGTACTGAACAAGTGAGGAACTGAACACATTATGGGATGTATGAAATTTTCTGAACCCTATATAACTGATGGTACAACAACAGTGAATACATACTCGTATTATTGTTCAGCTTTGGGGCTTATTACTTGTGTAAAGGCTTAATAAAAAATCATTTGTCCTTCTACTTATGATGCGCTATTGTCAATTGGGGGTTAGAACCGTTGTAAAAGAACCCAGTAGCGGGTGTGGTGACTCAGTGGTTAGAGCGCCCGTCTCACGAACGGGAGGTCGTGGGTTCGAACCCCGGCCGAGTCATACCAAATACAAAGATTGGAGGAGGGTAGTAATATTCCCCCTCTTGTCGTCGGCTGAATCCGCCCCTTGGGACACGGTACGAATGTCAAAGGTTATCATAATCATATAACGTATTGACGACGGAATTAAGAATGCTTGATTAAGTTACACAATATATATACAGTTTATAGTATAAAAAGCTTTGTTTATGAAGACAACTTATGGCATTAGCATACATAGAAATAACAGCTGTAATCTATTTGAATATTACCCAGGTCCTGACAGAGAATGCAATCCACTAGAGATAGTGTGCATGAATAATGCAATGGGTAAGTACATCCTGGCGTGTTCAACTTCCCTCCTCCCACCGAGCTGTAATGGTGATTTTTTTTAAAGGGTATCATCATAATTATGAACAGGTTGCTCAACATGCTTAATTGCCATGTAATTAATAACGATCTATAAAAAGAGGATCCAGGTATACAAATGCTGAAAATTGCAGAAAATATAGTAACGGATATCTTACAAGTTCCAATAAAAAAAGCAAATGTATTTCCTTAAAGACAGTGGTCTGACCACTAGCTGTGTTTAATGAAATAAATTTGCGATTCAGCCACGAAGCTTTACTTGAATATTCTTATACTATACAAACGTTATTTTGAAATTATAGTAAATGAGCCATTCTTTATAAACCGAATTCTTCATGCCTATGCTGGGGATGTGATGGCGGCAATTTAAAAAAAAAATAAAACCCCGGATGTATATTCTGTATATCGAAGATGTAATGCATGACTGTTGCATGATCTCGAAATAGTCCCCGGGAAATATTATGATGGGATGAAATGACCACCCCTCACCTATTCAATGGCTCTGAATATCTGAATAGAGCGATCAATCCATGCTATTGTTCAAGTAACTATCATAAGTGTTTATGATCATACACGTTTTGTATGTAATTATATATTTTTATACGGAAAAAACCCAGACCCAAACCAAGAGGAGATTAAGAAAAAAAAAATATTAAGCATATCCATTTATATAAATACACTTATTTATAATATAATCATTATTTTGTAAAGCCCTTTTACATGTAAGGTCTCACAGTACTTTGAAGTGTTCAAACTAATTAGCATATTATTAGTGTTATTATAGTGTTATTATAGGCATAACAATCAATGATCTAAGAAGAATTTTGAAAGCATTTCAAAGAAGACAAAAACAAAGATTTGTTTAAAGAACACTTTGAGATCAAAGGCACCCAATGAAGAAGAATGACGAAAATGTCGTGACAGGATCATTCCACTGTTGGGGTGCAGAGGACAGAACGAAATATGAAGATCATCTAAATGAGCATTGATGACGTAATGACCTGAAAGAAACCATATTCTATTCACAGCTCATTCTTTCTCCAAAACCTGTCATTTTTGTTTCTGTGCTATAGAGGACTTCAATTCGAAGGCCACTGCTGCTTGCCCATGCCCCCGACCATGTGACGTTGTTACGTATGTTACCACGGTATCACAAGCCAAGTTTCCGTCAGACTTTTACAGTAAATTTCTTGCAGAAACACTGACTGAACGGCGGAATAGATCTCTTAATGCTGCCTATTTCAGGTAAGGATTGCTACTGCTTGTAGTTTGAGACCGGAGTCAGTACTTATAGGACCAATTTTTCGTCTGTGAAACACACAAAATAATGTAACAAACAAAAAAGAAGATCGATATCCAATAGACCGTTTTCGTATTTCAATGCATATGTCTTTGTGAGGTGCCTCCTGGCACCTACCTGGCACCAACTAAAGTAAGCAGTTCGCATGTTGACTATTGAAATGCAGTTATTCGTAACAGGTGAATGAAATGATTCCTATCGAGGCGCTTCACACAGACGTATGTATTAGGTTACATTACGAAAATGGTCTATTCCAGACGTCCTAGTTGAGGAAATGCCCACTGGACCGAAGTTTTGACATATTTTGAAGATTCAGGAAAATGTGTTTTATCTAATTTGTTCACACTTTTCTTCTCTCGAGAACCTTACGTTAACTGCCATGAAGCCCATAAATTTCGCATTGTTGTTATAAAAACATTCATATATCACTTCTACTGCTACTACTACTACCACTACTGCTACTTTTAGTAGCATTATTATTATTATTATTGTTACTATAACAATAATTTGTTATACTTATTGTAATTATTATTATTATTATAATTGTTGGTATTATTATTATTATTATGAATATCTTTATTTCTATCTTTATTCTTAATATTTATCCAAACAATGAAGTCCTATAGGAAGGAGATCCATTAATAGTTTGATAACAAATATATAGGTCTATAATCATGTTTTTAAATGTATTCTTCTATTCTAACGTAACATTTTATCCTCTTACCCCAACCGGCAGACTAATGACTACTAGAAAAAACATTTGTATCTAGCAATTGTTTACGAAACTCGGCCTCTTCCGGAAATCGAGCATACAAAGTTTACCCCAACCAGAAATCTACGCTCAGAGTTATAATTAAAAAAAAAATGTTTAGCGTCCTGCCTTTTTAAAAAATAGGAAGGAGGAGGCCCTTTTTTTTCTCAAAATGGCCGCTCGGTACATTTTCCCTGACAGTTGGCTATTTTTCAAGATGGCCGCCGGCATTTTTTAAAAAAAAATCAGAAATAGATCATTTGAGCAGGTCATGTTTTTTTTCTTAAAAAAGAAGAAAAAAAAGAAGGCGACCCCCAAAAAAGGAAGCGGGCGGGGACGCCAAACATGAATATTTTTTTACATGGCCTTATATGTTTAAGTAATATGGAGCTCGTTCATTCTAGGTAGCAGCAGCTGAATTATGGAACAGAATACCTGGTATTGTGGTGAGGCAGTCACAGTTGATCAATTCAAATACAGACTGAATAAGACTGATGACTCATCCGTTCACCAGCAGTTTTCCTTAGATCTAAATTTAGTTGGTATCTCATTTGAATGGTATCTTGAAATTATTGCCTAATTCTACCTCTTCCTTATTCTCCATAGTGCATCGCGACTGAAAGGTAATGCACTATACAATAACCGTTTGTTTTTATTATTACGAATTAAAATCTTTCCGTTTTGTATTACCTCTATTCTTTATTACAGCAACAGTATGTGTCTCATCAACATATTCTTTAATGAACTGAGTCGGCAAACAAACACTCAACAAGAAGCTTATGGGTTTTATAGTCTTCTTTGTTAGTCTGTAACACTCAGCTTAAAATAGCTTTTAAAGATATAATCAGGTTGTTTGATTTGTTTATTATTATTTTTATAATAAATTCTGCTATTAAAGGGAACCAAAACCTTCATATTAAGTTACTTTTATTATAAAGTTTAAGATATTTGAATAAAATCATTGAAAATTTGAACAAAATTGGGCAAGGAATAAGGAAGTTAAAGCATTTTGAAATGACTAGTCAGTAGTCACTAGAGGGCGATATTCAATTTGATGACATCATTTTGTGGACAACTCTCCATGCCTTTTGTACTTCAAATTTCATGTTTTACTTCTTTCTTGTGATTGAGATAATCTACTCCCCTAAAAGCAAGGTATAGAATGCAAAATGATATTCCACTTCACATGTTATGAAGTCGGATCAAGAACACAAATAAATACGAAGAAAACGAAGGAATTGTGAAATTTGATGTACAAAAGGCATGGAGAGTTGTCCACAAATGATGTCATCAAGTTGAATATCGCCCTCTTAGTGACTAGTCATTTCAAAAAGCTTTAACCTTCCTTATTCCTTGCCCGATTTTGTTCAATTTTCACTGATTTTTATTCAAATATCTTAAACTTGACAATAAAAGTAACTGAGTATGAAGATTTTGGCCCCTTTAAACTTGATATAGGTTAAATCAAAACGTATATTTCACAATGAAAATACTGTAATCAATGCATCAATTGCACTATTATATTGAATTTCATTTGATATAATATATTAAGGACATATTCATTTCACTCAGGACTGCATGAATTATACACAAACTTCTCAAACGTTGCTTCCTGAGTAAGGTGCAAGTACATACATCCATGAAAAATAGTGCTTTACTGTTACTACCTCTGGAATAAGGGTCGCTGTCTCACTTTTTTAAAGCTTTTTAAACCCTCCATCAGATAAAAAGCATTTTAGATGTCATTCCTAATCAAGTCAAGCTTTGAGTAAAAAGATTTTCAAGTTACCGTGAGCAGCGACTTTCAATCTGAGTTCAGTGGTTGCGTATGCTATCAAATAGTTATGCCTTCAAACTTTGTTTGAATTGTTCCACTTTTATTTTTGCTTGATTACCAAATCTTTGTTTGCCCCCCTTTCCATCCCTTACCTGACCCTAATTAGGTGACATCGGTGGCTCTCTTGGTATGTGGATAGGAGGGAGTATTCTTACCCTCTGCGAGGTTCTCGACATCATTGGTTATTCTATACACAAGGGAAGATCGTCTTAAAGCGACACTGAACTTGACTGAAGTGATGAACTTTCTGCCCTAGCATACTGTTCAGACCCATCTATACACAGAGTTTGGCCAACCCGGTTCGAGTTGTACACAATATGGCGACTACTGCTTTATTGGGCAAGCACAAAACAAAAGAATATACGCCATGTTGTGACCCAGGGAAACCAAGTTGGCTAAACTTTGTATATAGATGGCTCTGTTACTGTTCATTGCACAGCGTCATCTCATGATCAACTTGCCAACAGTGCGAAACCCAATACCTAATTTCCCATTCGCAGACACATGACTCGACGCGAAAACAGTGTAGCTAGGGAAGCAGCGAATTACGGGCTCATAATACTGCTGCAACTTAACTGAGATGGCGCTATAGGGGATTTTGAAGTAGTACGATTGTTTTCATATACATACACATGTATAACCAGAAAACTGTACAGATTTGCGTCGTATGTAGTAAAGGACTTATACATGACACTTTATAAAGCAATCACTATTGTATCGAGAAAGCCTAGGTATTTCTCCCAGAATCTTTTCATGCGAGTGAGTAAAAAACCAAGGGAACGTCTTGACTGGAGGAAGCATTAGTTCTTAAAGATTATTTGTCTACAATGTATGAGCAAGAATCAATCATTATAGACTGGCCAGGAGCTAGTCTTCAAAGGGTCACTCCAGTTCATCCAAAACTAATTTGACACTTCCTTGGAAACAGACAGACAGACAAACGAACACCAAAGCCTTTTGCCCGAGCTTTTCAGCCCTAAAATCCTCGAGATTTAGAGAAGAATCATTTTCACATTAAAACATTAATCACACAACTGAAAAATGTTTGACTTAGTTCAGTTCAATTATCAGTTTAATCAAAGTGTAGTCTTGTATTTTTAAGTTTCTTGCAGAGGCGAAATGTGGTGTCGAATAATTCTTTGGGTTATTAACAAATTTTGAAATTATATTACTTCCTCAAAAGTAGCCAAATGATATTGTAAGGATTATATAAGTACATCATTTTACTTTCTTCACCTGTTTGGCAAGGCATACTAAAGGAGCGGCTTGCTAAGAAATTTTGGCTATTTGACCACCATGCTAAAATTTTACAATGCATGTGTTATAAAGAAGTAGTTGTAATAAATGTAGTAATAGATGTACTAGTAAGTGAGTTGTAATAATAGTGTGGTTGAAAATGCAACTTTGTTTGACCATAACTCCTGTCGATGTCTATGGCGGAACTTATTATTTGTAATAAGCTCTGCATTTATACAATGCAGTATCTATTCTGAGTTGTGATTATGCTCAGTTACTTATCGATTCATATGCAGCCAAGATTACTTAAAAGCCAATGAGTTACCATTTGGTGATTGTAATAAGAGGCGTAAAACAATCAGGCAATTATATAATGCTACTTCTTTCTGCCTATACCTAAGAATTCTAAAGTCATAACTAAACATGAGCTGTAATGCACTGGTATAAAAAACTCACCACGACATTTACGTATCTGTGTTTTACCGTGTTAGATGGTGAGATGGTAGTGTACTAAGATTAAACAAGGAGTTATAAGTTAACTCCTTATATAGTTTAATCATGGATCCTACCAGGCAGGCGCGTACGCAAGGGGGGGGGGGGGTATTGGGGTAGAGCCCCCTCCCCTTTGGTATTTGTTATGTGTGTATTTTGGAGGAAATCCCCCCTTTGGGGTTTTTTTTTAAATAAAAAATTATACAAATGGCTGACCTAAAAAAAGTTGACCTCCCCCTCCCCAACGGAGCAAAATGTCAATTTTTCAAATTTCGAGACCCCCCCCCCAAAAAAAAAGTGTCCTCTTACCCCCCCCCCCCCCCCCCCCCCCGCTTATTCAACGGCTGGCTGAGTCGTTTCGAAAATTTCGGCCCGATTTAAAAATGTTAACCCCCCCCCCCCCTGAAAAAATCCTGCGTACGCGCCTGCTACCAGGTAAATGGTCAACTTTATATATTTTGTTCTAGTTTAGCTGAATAAAGAAATGGATCTAATCTGTCAATTTAAGCAACTTTTTTTCGGAATCTATTCTTTAATATCGTACGTAAGCTAAGTACCACTCAACTAATGCAATTCAGCTATCATCATAAAAGTATATGGCGCCAACTAGTGTTATAATTACATAATCATCGTCATCGAGAGAGGGGTCTTTCCATATAATTATGACGGGAACTATTGCAACATTTTCACCCAACATGTAAGGGATCATTTGCCCGCAATCGTACTGGCGAGAAAAAAACAACAGCATCTGGATAAGAAAGAAGAGGGAGAGAGAGAGAGGGAGGGAGGAAGAGAGAGTGGGGGAAAGAGAGTGAGAGAGAGAGAGAGAGAAAGAAAGAGAGAGAGAGAGAGAGAGAGAGGGGATAGAGAACAAGATAGATTACAGGGATAGTGGACATTTTCGAAAAATTATGGCAATTTGTTTCTGCTCTGTGGCTGCTATTAAAGATGTATTTTAATCAATAAACCAGTCCTATTACAATCATTTTTGCATTACCCTTTTAATGTGAGTGTACTGTAATTGTCTATATTATATATGTAAAAGTAACAGCTACATTCGTGGGAGCATACAATTCACAAGTCTCTCTGAGCTTCGTTGGAACCGGCTAGACTATCAACGTCATAAATTTGGCACTCCATGATACTTTATTAGTTGTTTTCCTTTTTTTTTTCTTTGGGATGTTATAGAGACAGATCACCAGCCATATTTGGCAAAAAAACAGAGACATGAACAAATTATTCCAACGTAATGGGCAACAACTGTATCACATCCAGGGACCTATCAATATGTCAATATTAGCTTAGGTCTTATCCTTGAACCCATGGCCCCAACATTCTGTTATGAGACGATTGTCAATTTTTTTTGAAAAGAATTGAATAGAAAAGTTTATAAAGCTTAGACTTTTCACATCATTCTGTAAAGGTGAAATGAGGAAGTCTATGCGAACAATTTTGTACCGCCGTTTTATTTATGTATTCCAAATTGTTAACGTCATCAGAACATGTTTAGAAACTAATTTTGAAGGGGAAGCCCACTCTCATATCAAGGCGTTTTCAATAAAAGCAGACAATTTGGGAAAGACGCATATCGACATAGTTGGGGCGGACTATGGATTGTCATGTGAGGGGGAAGGGCGACCCGACAGTAATTTTATATTAACGAAAAATCATTTGATGATCGAAGCTGGTCCCCTGAAGTAAGAAAACAAAAGTTTATAATATGAAAACAAGAAAGGGTTTCAGATTCTTTTCTCCATAATTGTTATATCCCTCAAAACCTCTGCGAGCCCTACCTTGCCTTCGCAGTGGCGGTGAGACCATTATCTTTTCCTTTCAGGTTTATTAACTTGTAACATCCTAATTAGGTGTAAGGTATAACTTCTGGTTTCGGAAAATCACCTACGAAAACACTTGTACAATATTGTATACTTAAACACAAATTATTATAACTTTAACGCAAATTTATTCTAACAACATTTTGTGTTATCGAGTTGTTTGTTCAAAGTGACAGAGCTGAACTGAATGGAACTGATGAACTGTGCTGTTTATTTGAGAGAGGAATGGGTCTTATGTGAAAGAGAGAGGGAGATGGATAGAGAGAAAGAGAGAGAGAGAGCGAGAGAGAGAGAGCGAGAGAGAGAGAGATAGAGAGAGGGAGAGAAGGAGAGAGAGGGACTGATGGAGAGAGAGAGATGGAAAGAGAGGGTTAGAGAGAGAGAGAGAGAGACTGATGGAGAGAGAGAGAGAGAGAGAGAGAGAGAGAGAGAGAAGATGCCAAGCTCCAGATATACCAAATGACTCCATTTTAGGATCAGTCTATAACCAACATGATCCCTACGTAAGAAATGGAATAGCCCGGTGGGGTCTGGTGAACAGCTGGAATCCGCGAAAGTTCATGATTCCCCGTGGGGGCTTGGCTGTTGTTATTGTGTTTGTGCTGTGTTTTTGTTTAGGGGGGGGGGGGGGGGGAGACTACCAACCTTTTTTCTCCACATGTTGGTCAGCCTATGTACCAAAGTTAATATGTATCTTTTTCATCGACCTCTACTGGGTCTTGCCATTCCTCTATCTTTCCCTCTTTGAATGAAAATAATATGAACCACCATCCTGTAATGATAGTAATAAAAATAATCATAATAAACAAATAGTAATAATAATAGCGATAGCATTTGCACATTGCCACTCCCGGCGCTCCATTATTATTATCATGGCTTTAGCACGGCTGCCTTTATTAAAAGCATTCGAGCATTTAAAGTAATTCATTCCTGGAAGGTACCCGTTTACCACACCTGAGTGGAGGATGGCAACTGTAGATTAATATCTTGCCAAAGTACTGCGATAGGGATTCGAACCCACCACTTTGTGGTTCAAAGTCCGGATACTTATTTACTGGACCACGACACCTCTTTAAACAAGGGGTCGCTTGAAGGGGGTTGGGGGATGATTGATGTAGAAACCCCGTACGAAATTTTATGTCGACAAATTTCTTCATTTTAGAGCTTTAACATACATATTTAATACATGTGTACATATAAATAATATCATATTTTTTCCCCTTGTGATTGTCAGCAAATATAACCCGACACCTACAATTTAGAATATTGTATAGGGACGTCAGAAAGTATATCGTGCAAACTGCAAAACTCCGTGCGGGTGTTTTTAAAGGGTGATCTTGGTACACTATCAGCAAACAAAAGAAAGAAGGAGGAAAAAGAAAAGACAGAAGGATATTTTAGTGTAGTAGATTGGCGATGTGGTGTGCATTTTCATTTCTAGATCCAAGATACTCGTGTATAGTATTTGAGATACAAAATTATCGGTTGGCATTTCGAAACCTCTCATACTTTTTAGAAGAGAGGGTAGGTTTTGAATAAAATGGTAAAAGAGGGGCGTTTCACTCTAAATACATTTTAACTTTTTCGCCTTAGTAAGGGACTTATTTGAACATTTTCTGCTAAATAGGTACCTCGTTAAAATCTTGGAACCATACATAACTTGTCTGCAGACACATTTATTCAAAATTTCTTTTGATGATTAACTCACTCTGTTCACATTGATTTATATTTCATATGTATTGTAATATTTCATATATATTGTAACTTGTAGGTTTATTTGTAATTTTTTGTTTTTTATTTGTTGATCATTGTATTTTCCTTGTTATAGCGCTTAGATACTTCGGTGGTAAGCGCTTTATAAGCACCGTTTTTATTATTATTATTATGTGTAACAACCGTGTAATACAGACAGGGCACCATACAGGCATTCACATGTCGTACATAATGTTGTCTACCTAAACATACCCTCACATAATTATGCATGTCTCAAGTTCACGCTCTGTATGGAATTCAATAGGGGAAGTATGCTAACCGCCCAACCCAGTCTTCATAACGTTCAAGGCCGCACCATACCAATAACAGTGTTGA